GCAACCCAGTATAGACAAAAGATCGATCCGTCATCATTGGTGTTTTCATTGAGAGGGTTTCATTGAGAGGGTTTAATTGGGGGTGCTGATCGATATTTTGTCTATCTTATCTTTTTATTTTTTTCGGTTTGCCTTTTGGTGAGGGACCGAATTTCTCTTCTTTTTGTGTCGAAATTTCGAATTTTTATTCGATTTTTCATTAAAAAAAAAAGTGTCATCTTGTTAGTCCTTTGTTTGATTTTTGTTCGGTTATTACCTTTTGTTGAGGGGCCGAATTTCTCTCTGTTTTATTTTTTTATTTTGGTTCGAATTTTGTTCGAATTTTTTAGAGTAAAAAAAAAAAAAAAAAATGTTGTTCGAGCCATTAGTTGAGTGGGATCAAGAAGATCTCGAATATTTGGAAGGTTTGGAGAGGGAATTAACCCCTTGGGAGCAAGAATATTTGGAGGAGATGTATGAGCAAAAGAAGGAGTATGAAAGACAACTCAAGATCATGGAGGAAGAGCAACAAGCCATGAACCGTGAGAAGGAGTCGTACATGACGACCAAAGGGGCCGAAGTGCTGGAAATCAAAGAGGAGATGTTTGCGATCGAGCGCGCGGATGATGTTGATGGTGAGGTCTCGGTCGAGTGTAAAGAAGCCAAGACAGAAGGAGACAAAGAGATCGGCGAGGTTCGAGAAGGGGATGAAGAAGGCGTACATGGGGAAGTTACGTTCATAGTCCTAGAGGTCGAAGAAGATGTGACCTATGTTTGGATGGTCGTGGATAGATCCTTGAGGACAAGGAAAGTCTCGAAGAGGAGGGGAATGATACGGAAGTGGGTTCCGTACCCCTGTGACAAAAAGATCGACGGTGACCGGCTAATGAGCGAGTGGCGCGCATCGGCCTGTGATGCGCGAGGATGGACGGAACAAGATGATACGCGAGCGCCAGACGAGCAGCCCACGGGAGCTGCTGGCGTGCACGGGACTGGCGCAGGTGGCTGGGACGCGTCCAATAGCCAAGGCCTAGTGGGCCTAGGATTGGCGGGAGCGGGCGCGCGATGGTTGGCCAGCTGGGGCGAGACACGCGAGGGGCGCGCGAGTACCAGCGATACGGGCGGACGCCTAATCCGTGTAGGCAGAGGCGTAGCGGGCGACGGAGAGGATGTTGGCGGTACACGCGGCATGGCGGGCGCACGAGGCTGCGCGATAGAAGAGCGGACCTCGGAGACTGGCGGCACGCGCGGATCAGTAGTCGATGGGCGTACGGCGTGCGCATGGGCGCACGAGTGCGATGCGGGCGATGTCCTAA